TATAATTCGCTTATCACACTACACGTTACATTAGGTAGTAACATCAGTAAAGACCGTTTTTAGTGTTTTTTTACCTTTTATTTTTCGACCATTTACTTATATCCCGTGTTTCAAATGATTCCTTTTTGTCCTTCATAAGTCCGTTGGGCCTTTGATTGTGCCATCGAGTTTAATTTCTTAAGATTTGTGTTGTGAAAAAAAGTTTATTTTTGATTACCACTTCTAATTTTATCGAGCTCAAAGAAGCTTCCAAAACAACTTTGGTATAAGCCTTTAAACGAGAGCACTACTTGAGGAAGTCTGTTAAGTTCAAGGATATAATTTCACACCCTGGAAAACGTATCCCATTCTGGGCAGATCAATGAGGACCTTCGATGATAAACAACTCATTAATTGATTTAGACAATAAACCGCAAATACCAGATTGTTGTCAAACATCTGAAATGCAATTTTATTAAAAATTGGGAGCTTTATTGTAAATCCCTCTCCCTCACCAAACAACGCGCGGCCACAACCATGGGTTTCTTACACAGAGTTATTAGGCGTAACAAAAACTGATGTCTTCGTATCGACTATAGGTAACTCCGGGACACGTAACTAAACCTTGAATTAAGCCACATTTCACTTGAAAAAAAAATATCATTTGGTTTTAATGAAACTGAAAAAGTCTTATACCGGGAGATGTTCGAGAGTTACAAGACAGACCAAAAAAAAGGGCCTGTAGAAAAGGCAAAATCACCTCGTCGATAATACCAGACCACGCATGGCAGAAATCTTTAAAGTAGTTATGCAAAGGCTCAAGTGGAAATTTTTTTGTAGTTGACTCTGTTCTCCAGACCCCACACGTATGAACTATAACCTTTCCCATCACTGACCGATTCATAATATTGCACTTAACTATAACGAGAATCTCAAAGTTGCTGAGCAAGTATTCAGCACTAAAACTAGCATTTTCTAGCGAAGACTAAATAAATTTGTTGAAAAGTTGAAGAAGGTTAGTCATCGCAAATACATAATAAACGCATTTATTGCTAAAACTCGAGCCATGAGTGCTGCAGAGGGTAATGGCACTTGCATATATAGCCACGATAAATAGGGTCGATTAAGTTTAAAAATGTCGTTAAGAAAAACATGAGTGCGATTAAGTTGAACGTTAGTATAGTTGTCTAAAATTTTAACTTATACTGTTCGTAAGCCTTTGTGTAATGGTTCTATTCCAGTGCCTGAAACTCATTTGTTTCCAAATGAAGACACGTCAGACCTATTGTCAAAATGATGAGAAGTAATAATTATTTTACAATAACATTAAGAAACATTTGATTTCTTTTAGTGACCATTCTGTTACGCATTAGCATCGATCCTATAACGTGCAAGCATTTATTAAGCAGTATCAAGATTATTCTGTGGTATTTCTTTGCTAGATGATTTGTTATGTTTAGAGAGTCTTGTTTTGCTGACTGCTCAGATTGAATTTGGCGCGCTTAGCAGACAAAATGGATCAGCCAAGTGGTGTTTTTATTTGGGTGTCGCGTTCGAATGTCCCGAAGTGTTAGAAGAGCGGGCAGAGTCGTTTCTAATTAGTGGCAAACCCAGAACGTGCAGATAGAAGATCGTGTCAAAACGAAGCCCATAACATTACGTATTCAATGGCGTCCATGACGCCCACTTCAGTAAGATAATCATCAGAAAGAAGCTTACCTTTGACTATGATTCATAACGCATGCTCGCAATATATGATTGACTGCATGTTTTATATTGACCTTTTCACGGGTGCTACATTACGGTAGTTTTGTATGTATATATTTTCCTTTTGGCCTATATTTTAGGGCGCCCACTTTATATAATATCAGACTAATTACAATTGATGATTTAATTTGTACTAATGATGGTACAGCTCGTAATGTTGCTTGCGACGACGACATCATTATTTAAAGATGAGACGTTGTAGAACCCAGGTGTTCCTGCTTGTTATATATAACAACGAGCATGTATGAGGTCCTGTTGCTTGTATCCAGTGAACTCCTCCCGCTAATGCGGTTTGTTTACGTAATTTTTTTGTATATTTTGAAAAATTTCATATATTGTTTCCGCAAACAAGCTTGGTGTTTGTTATCTAGTTATCGGGCGAGTTTTTCAAACCTTCATTTTTTCATACAAACGTATAATTTATTAATCACTTTACGCCCTCAAACCATAGAAGGGCATATGTAAATTGGTAATTTTACGTCCTTATCAATCAACCGTATCATGGAACTGAATTTTATTTACAGCGCACAAATAAGCCATACTTCATGCGTGAAATTCAGCTAAAATTCTTGCATGACTTTATGCCAGCGCAGACCAACACGATAGATCTTCGTCGTCATAGATAATTACATACTTATACTATACTTTATTGTGTAGCATATAAAAGTAGTTGTTTTATTAGTTGATTTGAATTTGACTTGAAAATTCATTTATTAACAAAAACAAAGGGTGTTACATTACAAATGAAGCAGTGTATTATTACAATCAGATAAATATATTCATGTGTAAATATATTTATCTGATTACTAATGTGTATGTTTATGTGGATATTGTTTGTTCTACTATACTTTAGGACGTGTTCTTCACGTCCAGCCGGAACGTGGCTCTTGGCTCTCCTGAAGAAGCGGCGTCGTTCGATTTGCTAGCGACTAATCTTGTCGCCACGTCTGACAGATTCGGCCTCGTGTTTGTGGCGTCAAATAAAGGTGTCTTAGAAACAACGAAATTAGAAGTTGATATAAAAGAGTATTAACTATTAAGTTAACTGATATATCTGATATATAGATTTTTATTATTAATTTGTTAACAAGGGTGAGATGTTTCTAAAATATGTGAAACACGCTAGCTGACAGTTATTGAAAAACTTAGTGAAATAATATTGAATAGTGCATTCCAATGTACCTGCACAAAGCTTTCCTTATCGACACGCATTGTGTATTAGTTTTTCATATGCTTATATCTTATCAATTTAGAACTGAAATGCACAACGGTCTCTGCCATCCAGAAAGAGGACAATCCAGAGGCGCGGCTACCAGAGGTCACGAATCACGCATTCGTTACTATTCCAGTTGGAGGTGGGTATTTCCAAAGTCATAATTCCGTTCGAATTCGTTACGAGTAAGCTGCAAGAGCTGATTATCCTGTCTTGTGCAGTACAATTATGTATGATTAGTTTTGGCTGTGAGTAACGAGCATTTTTAGTTGTTATGCATTTAGTCCTTCGAAACTAAAGTAAGCTAGTAACTTTCCGCGTTTCAGGTGCCATAAGCGGAGTGTTTCTGAGTTCGGATGATTTACTTTTAGCTGTGTGTTCAGAGAAGGCTGGTCTTTTGTTCTGCCATCTTTTTGACGTTCGTGTTTTCGCTCCTCAGGTTTGTATTCAATTGACTATTTTCCTGTGAAAGAGGAATGGCAGCCCGGAACTGCTTTCCGTATGTTATACGCGACATATCGGCATGCAAATTCCGTAATTGTTAGTTTGGAAAATTTCTACAATGATATGGGTATCATTAACTTTAAAACGCTCTTGATATAAAATATAAAAAACAGGCGATGTTATATCAACACTCTTCGTAACATTTATATTCTATTACCTATTACCAATAATTGTCAATGGATCTTCTCCACTCACTTTATGGCACAAAGTGTGAGTTTATTTATCTTTGCGATACAATTATCGCCATGAATAATTGGGTTTTGTCTCTCTGATATGTACTTCAGCTTTAACACCCGGTTAAATTGAAGAAAATTCCAGTTAAGAATGTGTTGAACGACTGCGTTCCTGCCGGTAATTTGGTTACCTGCCGTATTGTTTATGAATGCTCTATTTTGGCCTAATCTTATTCTAACTTGATGAAGTGAAAAATTGAGATGGAAGGTTTTGGATTCAGTTCCAAAAAAACATGCAATTTGACACTTGATGGTTTAGGGCTTCCAAAGTTGCTACTAATCTTCACTTTTATTGCGTAGAAGTGAATAGCGTTCAAAATAAATTGGTCATCACGCAACTTTCAGGCCTCACTGCTTGGTGGTAATGCCTCTATTGGACCAGTGCATTCTTTTCCACTATCAAACGTCCCTGGTGTCCAACTTACGGATTTTTCATTCAACCCGGTTACCGTAGAAATGTTTGCAGTAGTAACTTCAGACGGAGTAACCACTAATTATGAACTGGGCACCCAGATCACACCGGAACTCAAGATCCACGGCAGGATTGCCATTGGAGCTACATGCTGTAAGTGTAATCATGTTAACGTAAACTAAACTTTGTCATGGAGAACGAATTGCAAATGGTGCAAGTACTCCTTACGAGCAACGTGCTGTCTGCCCAGTCCTTTTTCAAAAAAAGACACTCGTATTACAATGAAGCAGTAAAGCAAGTGTTTTTTTAATTATAATTTGTTGTTTCTTAGTATTATATCTCACTTTATGTACACAGATGTTAGTCATAGGTTTATAATCTTTTATCGTTATTTATTTGGTGTTAAATTCTAACGAACGAGCTGCACGTGCCTTCAACAGGTGGCACGGTACTTGGTCTTTTTAGCTAGAAGAAATTATGCTACTAATTGAAAAAATAGTATTCTTATAATAGTAGAAATTCTTTGCACTAATGTGTGGTGCATGCCTTCTGCAGGTTCATGGTCTCCCAAAGGCAAACAACTGGTGGTGGGCAAAGCAGATGGTAGTTTAGTCCAGCTGAAGCCGCAGCTGACTGAGGTGAAAACTATTCCACCGCCAGTTTTGCCTAATCGACCCGGTTCGTATATAGCAAAAGCAATTTACTGGAGCGCGAGTACAGTGTTTTTCGTCTCTCATTGGTACGATTCTACTTCCCTTCTCGTCGTAACGACACTGCAGGTTAGTTTCGATAATTCTAGGATAAATTAACTCCCAGGATGACATTTGAATAAAGCTTTTATCGACAGAAAAGTAGTTAACCCAACTGGGCTCCATATCACGTGCAGTTTTCCCTGAAATGAATTTCTAAGGTCCACTATACGGCAGAAATCAAATCAGACAAACACATATGAACACACTCCTAGTTATGTGTAAAATTATCGAAAAATCGATTTTTCAACTTGATGGCTTTAAAGCTGCAAATATCAGATAATAAAAGTCGCGTCAGACTGGCGTTGATATTATTTAAAAACTGATTTTATTGAATTGTTGCAATGCTTTTATTCAGACTTAAGATAAAGCGCCTTGAAGATGAGTAAAGTGTTTGGAAAAATTCGCTGCATCTACAATTTTATTAGAGGCACAAATGCCGCTTAGGCTCATAAAAAGTTGCGTTGTTTTGCAATCAAAACGAGTTATTCATATTTTAATTTTGAATGAAGGCATGCCAACAATCTCTGCACATTTACTGTTGCCAGATCTCAGCTCTTAAACGACCCCAGCGTCGACTAACGCAACTTTTAAAATCTGAGATCTGTGACCTTAAAGCCATCTAGCTCGAAAAACGATGAATAGTTCTTGAACAAGCTTATGTATTAGGCCATTACAGGCGATTCCGGCCAACTTTAAAATTGAATAAGCTTTGAACTACGCGCGCCTACTAGAGGAAATTCAGTTGATAAATACCTCAGTCTTCTAAAAATTTGCGAGTAAATACAGGTTGAGTTTACTTTAGCAGAAATTGGTTTCGAAGGAAAAACAGCTTCAAGCGTCGAAAATCAGTGCTTAGTGGTAAAGTCCTTCGTTCCTCGAAGGTTACAGCGCTGCAGAAATTTATCGAAGATTGGTGAAAACATTATGCAAGATCGCTTTAAGAGTACAGTGATAGTAACGTTTTAAGAACAGCGACTGGAGTGTTAAATACTAGTAGGAAAGTGTGTAGATGTCAGGACATTTTATCGCAGGACAAAAGGCAAAACCTGGAGTCTATGGACTTTATGGTTAAAGCTGATATTTCACGTGTAACGTATTGCAGAACTATAATCCAAACAGAAAATGCGATAGCTGACTAAAGAATGGGTCCCCCATGCGTTGACTCCAAATCAGTTGGAAATGCATGCAGTGTATTCCACGGGAAACTAACGGATGTTAATCAATAAAAACTTGCTTAGAGCATACGCTCGCAGTAGGCATGGTTTTATCTATTGCCAACCGAATAGAGCCTAGGCAAGAAATTGGCGTCGCCTTGAAGAGTTTCTTGGTAATGGAATAGGCTCGGACGTAAGTTGATGGTAGCGCTTGTGATTGACATCACAGACATCTGCTGCTACGAAATACTCGCTAAACAAAGATTCCTCAAAAGGTTCATGGACGGCTGGCACGCAAATCGAAAGCATATTGTCTTGTTACTTGGTAACAACGCTAGAAATCATTGCTATGTTTCAATTACTTTTTATATTGAGCAAAGGAATATCTACTGTCAGCTCCAACTTGCTTATTTCCCCTTTTAGTCCGTGTGATTACGGAACCTTCCATGCCTTAAAAGGCACAACTAATGCTCAAGCATATCTCACTGTCCATTCATTTTGAAAAGCCATCGTACATATCTTGTACTGTGCCTAGTGCGCATCCATCTTTTTCGTACTTATAGCTCTGCTGCAAGAGCTGCACTCATCTGCTTTGCATCTTAATGAATTAGACACTTTTGAAAACTTCAGTTGCCTAAGGAAAAGTTAGCCCTCGTTATCTGCTTTATTAAGTAATTTAAGGTTACGTATTTGGCTTTATGCGCAGTAAGACGCTGAGAAAGTTTTACTCTGTTGTCAGTCTCTTCCGTTTCAAGGTGATTATGCTGTAATTCAGATGATGCGATTCTTAGATGCATATTTGTGGGGTGCTTCCATATATCGTGAACCCGGCGACGAACAGATTGTACTATATGTATATATTTCCCCGAAAATATAGGTGTATCCAATACCCGTGTCTATTCTGTAATTCAAGTCATTAATACGAAGGAATGTTTTATTTTTGAACCCAACCTTTATTTGCATCTATATATCTCTAGCATTCAAAAAATACCAACAGAAGATATTCTAATAATATAATTTCCTAAGGTTTTCGCTTTTTTAATATTGATAAGGCAATGAAAAATTTGAATATGTTGTACCGTAGCGTATGTCGTTATGCTTAAACCATAAGTCGCTTAAAATTTAGTAGATATCATGCGTAAACAGGATCTGCAGTACGCATATGGTATGATTGCTTACCGTACAATAGTTTCAGTTAAATTTTCAATTAAACGATTTCCGTCAAATCGGACTACATGGTAGTAAGCTGGAACGTTTAAACGGCATAAAATATTCTATTTGGTTAAAAATATACTCGAAGACATTTTAGGGCTTTCCCAAAGGTTCTAAAAACGCGGGTTCCCAATATCAGTTCTAATGGTTTCGTCACTAGATCTCTTTGCTGCGGTCTTATGTATTAATTGTTTTTTACGATATTAACTCAATGCATATAAAATACAAATACTATATAATTTATTTAAATACCGAAAATTATTTTTAGTATATTTAACTAAAAAGGTCCTGTTGTGAAAAAAGTGCTGTGAATGTAGTTTCTACGTTTCGATGATTTCCACAATTTAGCCTATTTCATTAGCAAAATAAATATACTTGTGCTAGTTTATCTGATAACTCGCGCATTTTATGTGAATTGAAGAAGAATCGACCCACATCTTACGTCGAGTTCGTTGATGCCTGCCTTCAAAACCTTGACGCAGAACAATTCAGTCGCGTATATTTCTGCCCTGTCCCATCCTGGTACGTACAGATTCGGACAACCTTAATTACAGACAATAATAGCTATTATGATAGACCAGATTATTGTTAAATATAACAAAAATATTTGTCTTTGTATATATATATAACATGCGTTTCTTTTAATTTAGTCATGCCTTCGCGTAGTATGTGTCTGGCTACAAAATAGCGACCTCACGTTTCGTCAGCCTGAGGTCGCTATTTTGTTAGCTGTCTAAGCCACATATATGGTCCTGTATTTAAGTTCTATTACGTTTTCTTTTATATTTTTTGATAAGTTGTGTAGGCATTCTTCCTCTATGGGACACTAATGCTAAAAGGTTTTAGCTTTGCAAGGTAAATAACTTTTTTTTTGCTATACATTTCTTATTTACTCAATGGTTTTATTTTTTTTACTATATTATTTCTTTGAAGAGTCAAATACAACTCAGAATGTCGCTAACTCTTTAATCTAGTCTATCTCAGTTTCCGCTAGCGTAATGAATTCTGCGGCGAAGTTGAACATATTGTTAACGTTGGCAAAAATATCTGAAGTTGTTCCGAATTTTCTGTTTAGAATAACTGTACATTAAACGTCTTTGTGAAGGGCGACAAGTAGACCATGGACAGTATAGATCCCTTCTAAATCGCAATTGATCGGGCGAATCTTTTTTATCACAAAATTGTAATATAAATAGGACCGTTTATCTACTTCCTAAAAGACGCCACGTTTTGCAGCAGCAAATTAATCTAATATGCACTTCTGGTCATTCTCAACAATCTTCTTTCATTTCTTAACCAATATTTCTATTCTCGCGTTTGAGAATAATTCGACTGTCAAATGTATAGCTGTTAATTTGATTTGCCAATAACTGGAAAATATGGTCTTGAGAGTATGATGGGTGCAAAAGAACCCCTCACATAAGCTTTTGTAGGGCTAGTTCGACGACTTTTAACACTTGTCGCTGGGTTTTGTTACGGAAAAAGGTGACTGTGTCTTGTCCGTTGGCTCTTTCACGCTGGGTAGTCTCGTGCACTCGGTACAATACTATATATACAAAATTCGTTGACTGTCTTGTTATTCTTAAACCTTCACTACCGCATAAGACCGTTCCGATCCTGCCCAGTAACAAATTACGATCTTTTTCGGATTGGGATTTCCCTTGATTATATTACCTTGATTTATATTGACCTAGGGGTATCTCCTGAAGCTGCGCATTCCATTCACTACCTGATGTCTACGTGGGAACACCATTTCTTGTCATCCATAACAATTCCATAAGGGTGAGATGTTGAAAGACGTTGGCAAGCCTTGTTCTTTTATGCTCTTTATTCGGTTCACGAAATATCGAAGCTTCTTTTAAGCTTTCAAGCAAATTCCACAGATCTAAGATTCTGGTCGATAGTTATATGTCTGCAACCTATCGACTAATTCACGAGTCATGTGCCGGCCATCTTCCTTTAACATTGTCCTTAAAAGTTATTCATCGATCACAGATATCGGCTGTCGGCCGCAACAGGCCAGATCTTTGAGTTGCAAAAAATCATTATCAGATTTTGCAAACTGCGCTTGAGAAGTATTCTCAGGTGTCGACTCCTCGCTGTACACCGTATAGATATCCCGGCGCTTTTTTGGCAGCCTTAACATTGGTAAAGAAAGAAATAGAATAGGTATCGAAAATGCACACGCTTTTTATCAGAAAAAAAAAAAGAAAATGTAACAGGCTTATAAATGGTGGAGAAAGCACTTACGAATGATATAGGGAAGTACATAAAAATTATAAGGGCAAAAGGGAAAAAGAACATTGAATAACAGTTCATTATAAAAGTCAGTATTTTCATTTAAATTTATATAAATGAGTATGCATTTAAATAGTTTAGTAGATGATGTAACTAATAATGCGTACTCGTATACAGCTGGTGAATTTTATAATGGATTATGTATTTTTTACACTTTGTGTACGCTTTAACGTATTTCGGTACTAACGGTAACCTATTTCGTAACATTTATCGCTAGAATGGTATGATTGATATCTGCGATGATATCAAACATACTGTGGTGATCTGATTGATCATCTTTTATTTACACATGCGATCATTTTGTACATGCGCTTCAGTTGTCGAGTGTAGTCAGCGCAAATTTTCGCAAATACCTCTTGCTATACACTATTGCTAGCTAATTTTGTGCCACATGTGTGTCAAAGTGTATAGGAATTCCATAGACTATTTTAATGCAGTCAAGAGAATTTTTAATTAATTAATCATAAAAAATAATTTTAATGTAATCAAGATAATATGACTAACTCTATTACAGGAATTTGGTAGTAGTACTCTGCCGAAACTCAACAGAGGTAGCCGTTTTTCAACACAGCGAAGATCGACTTCAATGGACCGCGTTGGATTTAGAGAATGGGCGAGCGAGTCTACCATTCGTCAATCGATCTGACACCTATCCCATCGGTAAGTGTGGTTCTTATCGGTATTGTTATGTCAGATGTATGTGTACTTTTTTATTAATAAGTTTCAAAAGAAAAATGTTGTTTTTGTTTTAACACAACCTAAACGTAATTCTCAGGCATCGCTATGTTGCCATTGTTCTAAATTAAAAACGACTGGCAAAAATCAATAAATGATTTGTACTAATTAACCTACTTTTTGGAGCATTCGTTCAGAAGCATCGAGAGGCTATTTCCAAAATCGATCATTGCAATTTCATATAACAGGCATTACTTTAAACCGCACACTATCATGTTAAGTTTGCTATTTCTAAATAACGTTCTTGATAGCTGGAATTAAATTTAGTCAATAATTCATGGGTAACTCATTAAATATATGAGATGCCCCCGTAAAAACGAGGCTTCTGCCTTAAATGTGGTAGATTTGTCACATTTTTCCTGGTCTTGGACGAACAGTCAGTTAGATAAGTGCTCAACATAATTCACTCTTTGTGTCTAATATGTAAAAATAAACGCATATTTTTATTGCTCACATTAATGTATTAAAATTTATATTGAGAATTAATACACAAATATATCGGCGACTGTTTTTGCTTTATCGCTACTAATAGTCTTGTGTACTAGAGTATCACTACTATCACCATTCTCGATGACCTAAAATGGGATGCGACATAGAGACGGTAACTCTTCATATGTACAGTGATGTTTAGTATATATATACACCACTGAATCAAATAAGTGTCAACAAGAAGCCAGACTTTTGTCGGTGATTATGTACGCACCACATTCGCTTGTCTTTCTGCTAGCCGCATGCTAAATTTCGAAGCATTCAAACGTGTGCGTTATATTTTGAAAGCACCTTGAGACGACTATTTTCGTGCTTTTTCGGGAAACTAAAACGAGATATTAAGGAACAAGCATCATATTCTGCGTTAAGAACGAAATCAAATCCTCATGTTTTGGGCTTCGCTGTAAACAACCTGCCGCTAGTCGCTTATATATATATAAATAGTGTATTAACCGTTTAAAGCCAAAACTGAAGTAAATATTGTTTTTCTTCGGAAATTATATTGCTCAACCAAAACATGCACCACTTTAGTCTGTGATCTTCTGCTATTTTTTTTCGGTAGTGCTATAATTCCATTACTGTAGAATTCTGTGCTTTCTGGGAGAAAAATTGTGACAAGAGGTTTTCGCAGCCGTCCATTAAAATTAAATTACAGATAGTAACTTGGCGGTGCAAGATCCAGGCTGTGTGGCGGGTACACTTGAATTTCCCATATATATTCCTTCGGTTTTATTTAGTTGCCAGGTAGCTAAATATATATGTGGTGTGGCATTGTGACGGTAAAAGACGACGAGTTTTTTGCTCACTAGCTCCGTGATTTTTTCAATGACTTGTCATAATCTTGTCAGAGGCCTAAGCTAGCCGTTTTGCCAGGCGGCAGAAACTCATAATGCACGACTTCTTATTAATTCCGGCTCGATTTCGTTGCGTTTCTATCGAGCCTCGCAGGTGAAAATGTGATCGAGTAAATTCTTTTGCGCAATTTATGTGGCACCTAAGTATCGAGCTTTTTTGTAGTCGACTTTCTTCAAACAATTTGAAGCTGTTTAATGAGGATGTTTAGTTCTTTAGCAATATAATGACTACTCACGTGTCGATCTTGCTCAACTTTCACAGTAACTTCGTCAACAGTTTCCGTAACTGGTCCACTACGAAGAGCACTACAAGTAATTACAAAATTTTCAGAACCAGGTTTTCTCTAGGCTATTCCTTTCAATAGCGTATGTTAACTACAAACAGCACAAACTTGTTTATGGATCTGGGCAGCATCTATGTCCTTATCTTGTAAAAGTTGTAAAGTGTGGTGAATTTTTGCACAAGTTTTACTTATATTTAAGATGCTTCATCTTGAGTTCCATTAGATAGTATTCCAATGATTTTAGCTGTTTATTATCAGGATCTACAACTGCCAGATCTCAGCTTTCAAGGACATTAACGCCGATCCGACATGACTTGTACTACCATTTAGCTAAAAAACGGTCAATACTTTGGCAATCAGGTATACCGAGGTTAGCATATCTAAAATTAAAATTTTTCTTATGATTTATTTTTTATACCGTTTCTAAGTAAAAACAAATATATTAATGAACTTTTTTCATGCGCTAGGGGTGTCATTTTTGATGGTTATAATTTTTCAATGTAACCGCCATCTTATAATAATTACAGTTTCAATTCTGGGCCTAAACTACTAGATAGTCAATTTTACAACATTTCTTCCTTAATCCGCAAATAACTTTTCGGTTAGAACCGTGCGTTAATCGATGTCGGCAAGCGTCGCTCCGGTATATTACATAAGAAGGTTTAAATGAAATTAAGTTTTGCGTTGATTGCATGCCAAAAGTCTGAAAAATGCAGAAGCTCACAACGGCCAAAAAGGCTTAAAGGTGCAAGAAATCTTAAAAAGGCTAATTGTGGGATATTATCTAGACGACCGATTCAACAAGTAACAGTCTTCTTTCGAAAACGACCATTATCCCTGGTTTAAGATCAAAGCTGCATCAGAAGCCCTTTGAGCCATTTTGACAAATCTCGAGCCCTTTAAATCCAAACCCTATTGGGAATATTCCCATTTGCATCATAAAAACATTCCTCTATTTTTTTTTCAGGAATAATAACAAAGCTGGCAATAATGTAAACGGTCACCTTTTTAGGAAATAAATTTTTAACCTTGGTAAGGTGTCGTCCAGCGCGGAAAGAGAAAGTAATAGCTGACCTTCACTCAAATTCAGAAAACGACGCATTATTGTTTTTCACGAAGTATTGAGTTTGCTTTTTTATCATTATTATCGCTATTATGTTATAGTTATTCATTATTGTGCTTTAAAAGAAACTGGCTCCAGTTTAGTACTAAAAGTAACGGATAAACGCATTCCCATTTCGACAAACAACTCACTAAAGTTCTCCCCAGGTTGAACGCGCGTCGAACATATATATATACATCAACGTATTCGATCGCCTTGCTATTTTAGACAAATACTTGTTACGTTAGAGCCCCATAATATTGACCGCTGACACTTCGAGCAGTACCAAGCTACCAAAACCAGCTTTTAAATACTTTATTGAGATATGCATTTTCAAGATTTAATCAAAACTTCGTTTTGCTCTAATATCTCGAAAACTTAGTTTTACGTACATATATTCAATATGCGATTTGTATCGTTTTGTGGGAAGATATATAAATATGAACATGTAGAACTATTAAAAAATCGAATTTCAGTTTAGATCTTACATATTAGGCGACTCTAACATTACTAGTTATTGAAATTTTTACACAGTTTCTAGTATTGTTATAATAGCGGACATTTTTTCGAAAATTGAAAACATTCCGTGTATTTACTTTTTATTATAAAAAATTTTTTTAGCGAACATAGGCATTAATTGCGAAAGACATGCCCAGCATGTAGCAAGACTTTCAGCAACTTTATACAGAGCCACATCTATAAAATGTTCTAACGACCTCAGTGGATTTATTTGCGCTTCCAAGCTGGATTTGGCTTTATTTTCGGCCTGAACCGCGTTGATTCATCCGTGTTTCGGAAAACCAAGTTCCAAAGAAAATTCCAGAGCGAGTAATTGAGCAACATTAGGTCATAAGTGCTGCCCACTGTAGGGCTTCCTTATGTGAGTCAGTTGATTGGCTAAGCGACTGGCATGCAAAGGAGTACTTCATATGGTTCAATAGGGTCACATACGTTTACTGCGCCCAATATACGTAGCTATGCATAGCCCTGTTGCTTTGGAGACGCACAAAATTTGCGACCTATGAGTAGCTATATACGCTTAAAATAAATACACTGAGGACTTTATGTACTCTCCCGCCTCCTATCAGCCTATATCTTTCATAAATAAACCTACAAATCCTATAAAACACTTTTTTTTTTTAAAGAAAACATACTTTGATCACACTTTAAAACCTTACGTTTCCACATAGGCCCGTTATTCGGGTTCTATGAATGATGTCAGCCATTTATGAAAAAATAGTCTGTCCAATCAGTGTTTGAATAGGCGAGTTTTATTTGTAAACAACTGTTGTCATCTAAAGGTGTTGATTATATATTGTTTCATTAGAAAGCTTTTAGATTTTATTTTGAACTCGAGCCAGCGTCATTTATTTTGATCGACTTTTAATATTCTATTGAGTCGTATTTCCCGGTTCGACCGCTTGACATGATTGCTTTCATATAATACATATAATGATAGTTTAATTGAAATACGTGGGATACTCATAAAAATGACGCCGGTATTAGAATTAAGTTGAGAACAATAAACGTGTTGAAGAGGTATGTTTGTGCTAGTTATGAAAGCAATTAATGCCACGTGGAAGTATTGGTAGTAATAACTATAGACTTCCTTAACCTGGTAGATACGCTTTTATAATATGTACATAATACGAAGAGTATTCACATCTGACCAACCTATAGCTTACCGTGAGAAGATCACCGGGTTGCGGGCTGTCACTATTGGAACTATTTTCTTCGAAGCCATCAGTATTTTCAGAATCTATTGACTGGCTCTCGCCCTGTATATTATGACAGCAATTTAAGATTAAGTATAAATGTCCGACAGGTCCGAATCAGGAAAATCTATTAAATAAATGGTTCAAAATTTACGTCCGGTCTATTATGCATTTTGGCGTGGACAGACAGTCAACCCTATTTTTCCAAATTTACTTTGTTTAACGACAGTTTTGGACGTAAAAAGCGAAGTATTCAGTTATATTTACTCTCACTAGCTTCTGACTGAGGAATTTGAACAGTAGGAGCCAACTGCTGTACAATATTTAGGGAGATAACAGCAACTAGAGCAACAGAATTAGAAATCAATGGGCCGATAATGGTGTTGTACCAAATGAGTAGTATATTTACACATGGTAAATCTATCTGCACTCTATCAGCATTGAAGAAATAGATATTTTCGTTCGTTGCTCAACAAGTGCCTTCTTTGTTGAACTATACTCGTTTGAATTTGTACTCGAACTTTTTGTCGACAGCGAACACCGCATTGGCTTTTCAGATTCGTTACTGCTACTGCTTGACAATCACAGATCACTTAAACCATTTCAGAGCCTGTTGCAGCAGGCGTCGCAGTTAGTAACAGCAACAAGTGATGCGGCGATAAATGACATAATACACAAGTGCATAGTTAAAATCTTCATTTAAACCATTGAAGATTTGTCATGTCACCTTTTAGATTAGGTTCATTGTTTTGCAGCGAATTTAGTAGTCGAGGTTGTTGGCAGAGCCATCTGAAAGAGTACAAAGAACTGTTCCATTCCTCTGAATATCCGACGCTAAAAATGACTTCCTGCAATGAAATTCTGTCGTACAGGTTTATAATTGGTGATTTTTCGTAAAGAAAAAAACCCGCATCCAATTTTTGTACACGTTCTAAATAGGATATGGCGATGTGGTCATATTATCTTCCAATTCAGGTGGCCAAAGAAGCTCTGTTTGTTTGGTGTGGGACCTTAACACTGCCATAAGAGGAGTTAAGAATACACGAACGAATTAGTAGTTTTAGAGACGTTTTTACTGCACCATTAGGGTGAAATATGTAAAAATGTACTATATTGATAGCATACAAAATATCCTCACTTTAGTTATTCGTTGAAATCCACGCGACTGATCTTTTAGTCACCACGTCTGTCTGTTATTCCGCCGTAGATGGACATTTAATGCTTGAAATTTAGGCCATCTTATTTCAGTCAGTTGACGAATGAGACGTTTAGGGGTTATTTTAGAATAGCGTTTGTGCTATCACGCTTTGCAATGGCTGCATTTCTGAGTAACTCGACGCTTTGACTGCTCCTACTTTCGGTAATGCCTCTGATAACTTCGCCATCTTTGAAGTGATGATAACGACACTACTGAAGGCCAACCCCCAAGCAAAGCGCAAACGAAGCCTTTAGACGCACTGGCAGATATCTGTAATAAATACTGGTGATCAGATTGCGGCAGAAATGATAGACGAGGTTATAGTAAAATAGTAATCACAATACGTTTCTGCTAAGCCATAAATTTTTTCGAGTTTTATTATGCATTTATATGAGGTGTCAACGGCGTTTTTCTTCGACAATTTATGACAAATTAAATGACGCCCTATTGACCTATCAATGCGACACATTCATTGAGCATGCATAAAATGACTGAAAGGTCTGTTATAACTAATTCGATCAATCAGAAAGAACTTCTGTAATTATCTGCATTTTGCACTGTTTCCAGCACAAATGTTAATCATCATGTTTTCTACTGCTTGAAAATTATACGTACTGTGCCAACATATTTAATATAAACCTCTTGAAGTCCTTAAATACATACTTTATATGTTTGCTTTGGATTTCGCATTGTATTTGTAGGAGCGCAGATCTGTAACGCAAGCACGTTTGTCATTGAAAAGACGAACCATCCCCCAAGGCCGCCTTCGCCGCTATTGGTAATACTAAATACCAGGGGTGTTATAGTTCCTTTCCATCTTGTTAACTTGAAAGGGTCGTCCGCCGTTCATCCGCCGGAGGACCTAAAAGCGGACGGACTGCGAAGGATGTTACAACCGATTTGTCCTGCTCAGACGGTCGTTCAGGCTCAACAGCAACAGATTGAAGTAGAACATGTTCAGGTTAGCGGACCAACCATTGCCACTCAAGCAGCTCCTAGACATTCGAATTTTTTCGTAAAGGAAGCGCAGGACACTGCACCAGCGGTGGCCGCTTTCGGGTCAATAACGGAAACGCCGCGAGCACCAGCAAACACTGCGGCTGTTGCAAGTAAGTTGAAGGTTAACCTACTCAAACAATTTGATGCTATGAATACGCTGCACAAACCCCAGCCGGAACTACGACGACGTCCAGATGAATTCAGCGACAATCAGGTTGATTTAAACGAAGGCCAACAAGCAAGTTCTGCAGCTAATTGTAGTGAGTGATATGACGACTCTCTCTGTCGGCCGTGATTGTTGTCGAAATGATTTGTCCGTTGTTCAAAGTAACCTGTTCGTTAATTAGCTACGGTTGCTGTAAGCATATCTGTGTGAATGTGTGTTTGCACGAACGTTGGGTTGTTAACATCGCGAATTTCGAAAATTTATCTAAATCAGTACCTTTCTCTTTAAGCGTATTTACACTTCGGATAGTTTGTTGAGGATTTCTCTTTCATACAGTAAACATTATTATAGGCTGGCTATATGCGAAAAGTTACTCTTATATTATGATCTTATAAGTAAATGTATAATATATGTATAAAGTACAAAATCTATCTCTCCTGAAAAAAAAAATGCAACATCGTTCTAAAGATAATTGAAGGGAGTTGCATCACTCGGATAACATCGGTAGAAATCTGATGCGTTCGCTCACTTATACCTAGTGGCACTGTCGTGCATGAGTGCAACGACGAGGACTTTCATTTTTTGTTATGTTGAATAATCCACCAAGCAAATTTTTCAACTATGTTAAAGAATGTCTGCACCTTTCACAGATCAGTTTCGAAGCACTACTGCGCCTTCTCTAAATATATGCTTATTATAACGCTGTTACTTTTCCCGGCCCTGACAGGTAAGCCTGACACATCTCAAGTCACGCCAGCTTTCGGAACCACAAACTTCAATTTTAATACACTTGGAGTGACCCCGAGTAAAACTATTGGTCTTCCACCTTTAGCGCAATCGACTCCTAAGATCGAGGTGGTGTCCACGAGTTTGCCTGAGACTACTTCCAGCAAACCAGCGACTGTTCTATCTCGCAGTTCGACAACAACAGCGGGAAAGAATCCGGACTGTGGTCAGGCGGGTTCGGTCGTTCCGAGGGGACCAGGAGAGATGTCTGGCAAAGGGGATGAATTCCTTAGCCAAGAGGCGCTCTCGAATGCGTTCCTCATGGAACTCGACACTTTTACGAAGGAATTAGCCACGTTGCGTGTCGAATCAGAACGCGTAATTGAAACTCCTATTGGTGATGACGGAGAAGTGTCTGCGATTCGTAAACAAACGAAACAACTTACTCAGAAAACTTTAGACGTTTGCAGTAATGTGAAGGTAAGTGACTCTTTTACACTAATATATGTAAGCATAGAGGGTAGCTACGCTACTGTGTATATTGATTAAGTAAGACTTTCGATGAAATCATTTTTGACTTGCACACTTGTCAAGAACAAATTGTATTGAAAATGTACCTTGCACTGATTTTAGATATTCACAGTAGTATATTGATTTAACGAGTTAGTATTCATGTGATCATGTTTGATAATATGATATATATATACATACAATTCGGATGTTACTCCTTCGATTTAGCTGATTTAATTATTCAGTGGGAGACATCTTCCAAACCAGGTGTATGTCGAATACTCCATTAAGTACAAGTACTGATCGGTGAAATTATCGGGTTAGTACGACGGAGTAGCACAGAACGAATATTGCGTAGAGGTTGATATTAAAGGTTCTCGGTTGTAAGGCAAAGTCGCACACAGCATAGCGGAAAGGTGCTATAGATTCGTGAATATTTGAAAAACCGCTATCTACCGATGATTGTGGTGATGTTTTCTAGTTAATGTCCTCAGCGATTCAAGAGACTGAATCAGTGTATCTCGATGCTTTGGCGTGTGGACTTCACGCCCAACGTCTGGTGTCGGCCAAAGAAACTCGGTTGAGCCGAATGGATCCTGTTACAGAAGCGACCTTAAAACAGGCCAAAGGTCTGGCACAGTACCTTGAGCGTCAACTTGTGGTTGCTAATCGTTGGCTTGACGAGGCGGTCGAAAAGTTTGAAAACGAAAAAAATAACAAGTAGGTTTACCACACCTAGCCTATAAAAGCTTAACGTATGTATATATATACCTCCTAAAATTATAGTATCACATACACTAGCTACAATCAATATTTATTCGTCTCAGCTATCTTACTTTAGCAGTTCAACGCGTTGGTTTGGTTCAATTAAATGAAATACGTGTGCTTTTGATGTAAGGAGCCAACTGAATTTAAATAAAGTAATTATTTTAAGCAAAAACTATGCGCAGTATCTGTCGTCACCTGAGTCCTTAACTGATCGCAACCAAATCGTTTTTAACAATCTTGTTTCAGACGCTTATAATAAAATGCTTACAGAATGAGATATGCTTTAAAGGATAAAAGCTAGGAAAGTCTGAAAAGTTTGCTGCAACCAAATATTCACTATTCTATTATTTGTTTACGTGTTTTCTCTCTCTTAAGGCGTCGTTTACCGACGATAGAAGCGTTGTTACGTACCATTTTAGCGTGCGATAAAACCGTCGAGGTGCTTAAAACAGACCTTGAAACCATTCGGGCTAAGGTCGATTCCGTAAAACGAATACGCAGTCTGCGAGGTCGCCGAGATGTAGATCTGAGCTTACTTGCGAACTCCCTTCTCAAAACCAACATCAGTTCACCCGAAGAGTCGACAACAAGCCGATCCAACGATCGAACTCAAAGTCCGGAGATCTCTGCTCTAAAACTCGCGTCGCTGCGAGAATACTTGGCACAACGCCCGCCAACGGTGGTAACACCAACCCGTTTAAGTCATGCGTCCGAGTCTATGATAATGTCTCGTCTCAATATGATCCTCGAGCAATCGCGAATTGACAAACAGCGTCTGACGGCACCCGGAAGTCCAATTCTGACCGAGCCTATTGAACAGAAGTCGACTGCCGATAGAGTGCAGCCGGTCTTGATGGAGAGCAATACAGCCCGAGAATCTTTAGGTGGTTTACTGGGCCTAAGAGTTCAAACGCCAGCTATACAATCGACGCCCCTGCGGCCGACACTTAGCTGTGTAACCGACACGTCTGCTGACAACCAAAACACCTACTTAAAGGGTATCGGTCAAAAATACGCGCCAAAGACGGAGCCTGTCAGTCCTCCAGAACCTTCATCCATGATCACTAAAGTAGGCATGGAACAGACGCTTGCTACTCTCTCTCCGTGTAAGCCGTTTGCTATTGAAAACAAAAGTGGGCGGCAATCTGGCAAAGGAATTCTTGGAGTCAAATCACAAGGCAACCCCAACAAAACTGTAACATTCTCGTCTCTTCCCACTTCTTCGAAGCCCGAAGACAAGAGTATCGGATCAGGGCCATTTAATCTCGGAACACCTTCTTCGGTAAGGCCCCCGTTAGACTTTAATACTACTCTAAACTCTACAGGAGGTACTGCAAAAACAAGTCTACAGTTTGGATATACAAAGGGTGCCCATGCTTCAAAAACAGAAGATAAACCTGGTTCTAGTGAATTCAGGGTTACCTTACCTAACGTCAGTTCCATCGGAGAACAAAGCAAAGGTCCTGTTGGAACTTTAGAGTCAATACCTAACCCAACTGGAAGCTTATTTTCCTTCAAAACGCAAGACAAAATCCCCTTCCACTTTACTGCTACTTGTACACAGGATTCATACGAAGCAAATAAGGTTGGGGCGAAGCCCCAAGAATCTAAAATTCCATTTTCAAATAAGCTGGATGCGTCACTACCGGGTCAGGTTGAAGAAAAGCCAACGTGTGGCACATCAGGAGAAAAGTCGAATGAATTGCCTAAGACCTTTACTTTTGTAGCAGGCACAAAAAGCTCTACCAGTTCGCTTGGCAAAGGTTTCAGTGCAGTCTCATCTCCATTTAGCTTTGGAACGCCAGCAACTGGAGATGCGGCTCCAAGCCCCGAAATTTCGGCAGAACACAATAAGGAAAATACAGGTACGAGCCATTTTAATTTTCATCGCGCGTAGTAGTTATAAAAGGATGTTTTTTTTTAGATGCGTACAGATAGTTATATTGTTGTGAGCGTTGTACTGTGCCTTTTCTCAATGTATATTGTTATCGGAACGCCTAATTACAGGTAACGGGTCAAAGCTCGAATCGCGTGTTGAATCCTTTACATTTTTGGCACCTTCCAAAACCCAGGGTACTCTACCAGCGGCTAGCAGTTCAGCTAAAGGAAATGCGCTTTTTTCTGCGGAAAGTACATCTTCCTTTGGAAATATTTCTTCTGGTAAGTACTTGTTTGATGCTATGAACGCACCAGGGGCACAGTAGTTATGAAATTATTTAATGAACTTAGTGAACAGTTACATTACTACAAAACAGTGCGTTGGGAAGGAAGAATAATATCTAGTGGCTTCCGATGTGAGGTCGATGTTCGTCGTATCTAGTCAGTGGTCGCAAATACTGTAGTCGCACCTTAACCTCTACGTTTCTCTATAGAATAATAGATTTAAACTCTGTATAGCCACAACCTCTGATGGTTGTGCTGCGCGTCTCTGTTTTTGTCTCGCCAGTCAGTAGAACACATTTGGCTCTACCTTTTTTTTTAATATACATTCGTTTACCATTTACATTTATCTTTGTCAATTAAATTTACATATGATAAAACACGAGTGATACTTATTTGACATGCTGAATTTGTAGCGAGCCTAATCGTTCACCGAGAATATGCCGAGGCGTTAATCATCATTGTAAGGACCATATTTCGACATAACCTATGCGCAAGTTACATGCACGTAAAGTTCTTGTTGCGGCGTGGCTCTTAAGCTACTTTTATAGCAGCTATCTGCAAACAGCAACTACCGTATTACAATATTAATACACGTTACAGGACCAGTGTTTAATGTGAAGTAGTAGTCCTTTGAAAGATCAAGAAGTGGTCATACTATCTATCGTTCTGCATTGCTATACTGACGTATTTGCGTGTGAGGCTGGTGTGTTGAAAAAACCAAGTTTAAAGATGGATATGGGGCAAGCTGGGATGATTTGCGGGAAAGCAGGAATGTAGTGGACGTAATACGGAAAGGTTGTACATGTACGTTAGTATTTTGTATATAATATACGACATTTGTATTGGCCGGTTTTTCAGTCGCTGCTTCAAAAGTTGTTGGTGAACAGGAAAAGTCTCGAACCGAGACATCTAAAGTTCCTGACGCCTTAAAAAGTCCTTCTCAGAATAATACTGTTCTTACTTCGTCCAGTGGAGGGAACTCTATTTTCGCTACCGGATCTACTTTTTCGTTCTCAAGCCCCCTACAATGTATGTTGCTCTCTTTTCTTACGCTCAATGGACCACTCGAAATATCTCTTTTAAAGTATATTTTGAATTATTAGTTGGTTATGAGTCTTTAGAGAAAAAAAAAATAAGTCTTTGAATTGAAATTCACCATCCTAGTGAACTTGCGTTAATTTTTCGTCGTAAGTACATACCCATTAATTGTACGAGCAGTTCTACGACTTAATGGTACATGGCATTCTGTGCGAACTCTGATAGTTAAAGTCTATCAGTTTTGCAAAATACTGCTCGTACAGGAAACAGTTTATGTGAGTTACCTTTAAGCATATAAAGTTCCGAATTAAATTAATCACTTGATCTTACAATTTTGCAGCCGCCAACAAATCTGGTGATAATGCCGCTAAGTTGAGCGCATCACCCCAAACGAACGGTTTGTTCGGTAAAACTACGTCGGGTGGAGTCTTCGGCATCACTGGCGGATCAACGTTCGGTGCAACTTCCGGCGGTGCGTCTTTCTTTGGAGGCGCCTCTACAGGCACAACCTCAACTTTCAATTTTTTCAGTTCCTCAAACAGTAGTACTACAGCCATTCCTCCCACTTTAACTTCCTCCACACCTTCACCAGCTACGACTAAACCGTCAACGGTAGCTCTTAGTACAGTGGCATCGAGTGATGCCTCTTCTCCTCCGGCTATTACTGTCACAACCACAACTGTTTCAACAACTAGTTCCACTGCAACAACTACCCCACCTCCAATCACATTGTCACTCGGACCAGCCGTCAGTGCGGCAGAGACCGTCGTGGCATCATCCTCAGTCCCAGCCACTTCACCAGTCATATGTGTGACACCGCTATCAGCCGAATCAACAGCCGCTAAAGAAGCAGCTACCTCATCAGGTCGCAGCCAAATATCGACGGCAGAGAGTTCCTCTACCTCGATAGAGACCAGCTCAGCAACAACTGTTACATCAACATCCACAACAACAACAACAACAACAACAACAACAACAACAACAGCAGCAGCAGCGGCAGCAGCAGCAGCAACGTCAACAACAGCTGCGACGATTACACCAGTCGGATCAACCACAGAAGTAACACCTACAACTACGCCTGCTCTTGGGGGGTCATCAATGTTTGCTACACCTGCCACGGTTGGGGTACCGTCGTCGGCTACAGGTTCAGCGTTGTTTGCTCCTTCCACTGAAATGTCGCCAGTACACACTTTTGGGGGGTCCGCAATGACAACAACTAATGCGAATGGTGGAAACACTTTTGGGGTGACTTCACTGACACCAACATCAGTAAGCTCTTCTGCGACTGTGGCACCAATATTTGCTGCTGGTGTGGGTGCAGGCACAACGAACACCTTCGGAGCCTCCCCGGTTACTTCAACGCCTGCATTTGGGGTTGTCGCAGCAGCTACCACCGCGGGTACGTCTGCGCCTCCTTTCGGTACTGCTTCAGCGCCTAATTTTGGGACTCAAGCTAGTGGGCCTACATTTGGACCTACCACATCGATCTTCGGTGCGCCTGTTACAAACCAGAATCAACAAGCAACCACATTAGCATTTGGAACACAACAGGCTGCACCCGTTCCTTTATTTGGATCTCAGCCCACTGCTCCGGCCTTTGGACAAGCCAATACAGGGGGAGTATTTGGATCTCCACAGACAAGTAATCAGCAGACCGCTACGGGTTCTCCGTTTGGAACACAGAACACGTTTGGACAACAGCCCACTCAGCAGTCCTCTGGTAGAGGATTGTTTGGGAAGCCGTTCGGACAATCGGCAGGGTATGTCGCGAAATTGTTTACTGTAGAAATAATTCTGCATGTGCGGATTCGCGTGTAGTACTTTATATTTTCGGAAAATCACTCTTGTTCTATTTGAGCTTGAGTGCGTGCTTTGTAAATGGGCATGCCTTGCAACCAAAAAACATCATCTTAGACAATTTTTATCCGGAAGTTATGTGGCGTGGGACGCTATAGGTGAGCGTACTTGCCCATAGGTGGTTTGTTCACAGAAATGACATCTCGGACTGTTAAAGCCTCAATCCCTTTCACTTGTCGAGTTCGTCGACGATTGCTTGGGGCCTCTATAAAAAAAATGTTTGTTAGACATGCTCATATATCTTGACTATACAGAGTCCTCATCGCACGCGGAGGAGTTGTCCTGATTTGTTTTTGCAGCTTTTTAGTTCTTGAAAAATGGTGAAGTTAAGTGTCTGAAGTACTGCTTTTGTTACATAATGTACCCACCTTTTGAGCCTGAAGTGAACTATAAAATCGCGATCTATACAATACGATGCCTGCTACAGCTAGAGCTTTCCAACGCAACCTAACAGCTCAGTCAACAAAGGAAAAATATTAGGAAACAAACAATTGTAAACCTTCGACCGCTTATTGCCTTTAGAAAAGAATGAGTCTGTTATTGGTAAAGGAAACTACTTTTTTTTTGTTTTAGATCTCTTTTTGGGCAAAAGAGTGTGTTCGGTACTCCTTCGGAGTCTACATCATTGTTTGGTGGGAGTGCCTCCGGAGGCTGTAGCAGTTTCATGAGTGGACTTGGCCAACAGGGCGCAGCTAGCCCGAGCAAAAACGTTTTTGGAGGCGGAACCTTTGGACAAAACGCTCAACAGACAAACAGCCTTTTCGGTATGGACTTCTCCATGTGACCATTGGCAGCTAAGTTGGTTACTGACTTAACGTTAAACGTACATGGTAATATGCGGCATACCTGAATTAGATTTAGCCTTTGCGATTTGAATTACCAATATGAAAGGTGAAAATGCAGGTATTTTGCTGGTTTTCCATTGGCATTTTTCAACAAAACAAATTTCAACAAAGCAAAAACAAATTTCTCACAGATATCGAACATTAATCAACATTAATTAATAATAACAAATAATTTTTTTAGTAGGGCTCCACTTAGGATACATCGTTCCATAAATCGATTAAATATACTTGATCGTTTTATATGTAGGATCGGGAGGAGCTACGTCGTTTGGTGGGCCAGCTCGAGGTGGATTCAGTTCCTCACAAACTACAGCAGGGGCTTCGCAGAGCACCCCAGGATTCACCGCCTTTTCTTCACAGTCACCCACTCAGGCTCAACAAATCACCTTCGGTGGAGCACCTACTTTTGGTAGGTCCTATTGTAGTATATAGTAGAGTAGGACGAACAGTCGAGTCCGTTAGTCTAACGATGGTTTACGAATTCCTGAGATTTCCTGCTCGTCGACTTTAGTCTTTTTGGCGTATTATCCAACAACAGGATTCTTGAGTTGAGAGTTTACGCTAGTCTATGAAAGTAACGTGAACGATTAAAATAACGCGCATGAAAAACTAAAAATAAACAACTACTCACATGTGTGGTATTAAATAAGGGTCTCATAGCAGCGTGGTACCCGTGATAACATTACAGTGTTGTAATTCTAAACGAACTCCTCGTTTCCAGGTGGATCTCCAGGGGGCTTTGGCTGTGCTCCACTATTCGGGTCCGGTCCTACGTTCGGGTCAGCTTCGAGTTTCAGTACAACTGCATCGACCGCTAGTTGCTTCGGTAGCGCAGCTTCCAATGCCCCATCCTTTGGCGCTTTAGCCCAGGGTCAGACATTCGGTGGCGTTGCAGCAGGTGGACTTAATGCATTCGGAGGCCCCGCCTCCCCACAACAGCAACAACAACCGACGTCGAGCCCTCAAGGTCCTGCGTTTACCCAGTATCGCGGTTAACTTGTTAACAATGGATAGAAAACGATAATGTTGTCTATTTGCCTGACTAAAGTGGATTAAGTGTATGAATATTCCAAATTTACGAAAAAACTACACATGCCTTCCAAACGTGCGCTCGTCGAATCGAAAACATATTCTCCGTATGGAAATAAACATTGATATAAATGTGTTGAATATGAACCTTTTGTCCGGATAGCTAACCGTGTATTTATGACGTTATTGCATACTTAAAAAAGAATATGTCAAATTATCGCGACGGAGACGGGGTTTTTGAACGGTTGAACTATGCTCACGTTGGATAGGATTTTTAATAAAAACAACATCATTTTCTTATGCGCACCTGTAATGTTTACTCTATAGTAAAAGATTTACAATATCAGTTGTTGTGCGCATAGTGTTCGCCTTTGCGTACCCATTTGTAATGTAAAAGGTTATTATAAGCAGCAATGGTAGCCTCAGCTCATAATGTTTCTTTTCGTTTTTTCAAAAAATGCTGAAACATATGTCGACTAGCTTAACCTGAACAGTTGATTTACTGAAATATTCTACAGTACAGTACGTGTATATTCAATAGTCTTCGATGTAATACATAATGGAATCCAGTGCTCGAAATAGGTCTGTGAGAAGAACTGTGACACTCTTTAATGCGAGAACACATACAGACATGCGAAGTTTCTACATACTTTTATACAAGGCACAAGTACGTATATTCTACAAAAGGTGTACGTCACGTGTGCATAAAAAAGATAAGTTACAATATAATGTGCGAACACTGAGGAACACGTAAGAACTTATCCGCTGTAGAAGACGCTACAAAGTTTCTTTACAAAGTACATGCGAAGCCAGATTCTGGCAAACCCGGAGGAAGTGTATGCTATCAGGTAAACCAATATTCACTCTTACATTTTTGTTTTACGCAATACGTCAGATTTAAAAGTTATACAAATACTGTATATAAGCTATTTCTGGGTCAGTTTCGCACAACTTCACTGCTGGTAACAACATCTGCACCATATCGTTCCATGTACATGATTTAGGGGAAAGGAATACACATTAACTAAATAAACTAATTTAAAAAAAACAGCCTCTTTTTTAGTTAGTTTTAAAAGGTAAATACTGAATCTTCTCGCTGTTTTTGATACGCACATGGCGTCAAAAGCTTGGTTCAATTTGCGGTACTGGGTTTCGTTCCAACAAATCTGACGATATGAAAGGGTTTAAGCTAGCTAAGTTTCTTTATTGTGTTCTGTGCAAAGTTCATCGCTGACCTATAGTTTTTGTAAAAAAAAACCAAAGTAAATTGTATTTTATAAGGTGAGCATGTTACATGCTATTGGGGTTAGGGTTCGGTAAGCCTATGTAGAACACTGTGTTCAGAACCATCATACCTGCGTACCCATTGTGTCACGTTTAGCTGCTTCTAGAAGAAATTCCGACGACCATATTGGAATGAGCCGTTGAGAGTAAACAATCTAACCGATAAATGAATTACAGTTCGACTAATCACAAGATGTTATCGTAACTCATCATGGATAATTCTTCATACAAAAATAATAGATAACTATGAAAATTATACACGCTTCCGTGATTTACTCATTTTTCGGAGAATGGATCTGCTAATATCCTGTGTGCCATATAAAATTCGGCTTCAGATTTCAAAGCTTCGCGAAAACCTATGTGAGGGAATTATTACATTTAAACTAACATGACATATAATTTTTTTCAGCCATAATCACAGCCCTTCCTCGAAACACAAACATCTCTTGCCCCAACTTTGTGAAATTACTGTACTTCGTTGGGCCATATGAGCCAATGGCATAAATGTCTTTATCCAATATTTTCGCGAAAATTATTACATTTCTGTGAGACCTTTTTGTCCTGAAACAGAAAGAGGAGCTATTGACGAATGCACTAATCTAAGCTTTTCCTTTCTGTGATAATTATTGCTCTCTCACGGCACAATTAAGGCACTTTCGGCTTATATATTTCCATTCTTCCCAACATAGTACTCTATCATGTGCCTAGACTTTCACCTGCTACTCTGCTAGTAGCGTTAGTTAAGGATTTGCCACTAAGGCTCTATAGCTTTTGATTGTATGTACCTTTTGTCGCAAAACATTTGATAGGACTGGTCGTAGCCTTCTTATTAAAGTGTTACTGCACGTTTAAATATCCAATCTACTTTTTAAACGAGTAAGGAATTACTTATTAAAGAATCGAACATTGTAGCTTGAAATCAACGTCTCTTCTCCTTACTCTTCGCGTATTCCTACCGCTCCAGCCTCGAATCTCTTTTATTTTCGACATTAAACATGTTATTTCAAGAAGCATAAGCTACAAGCTATGCGTTGACAATTTCAAGTTTTCCGTTCGACACGATTCCTCTCAGGGACAATCGCCTTTACCACTTATATCATGGACAAGTAATTCCAAGATATTTGTACGCGTAAATGTATAACTAAAAATACTGTAATGTATTTAGGATATATACGCCATAACGGTCAGTGTTTTCTTAACGGCTACTCGTGTGACCGTGGTATTATTGTTACTCCCAAATTGAACTTCGATTTCTACATCAGAAAAATGATGAATTATTCTCCCTTTTATGCTTTTTCACGCTCTTCTGTGGTTTCATAAGGAAATGACTGTCTGTTACTGTTTTCTAGGATGTAAAAGTTTTATCGTGTCGTTAAAGTGCGAAGGTTGGCGTTCTTATGTAACCAAGCTTATTTTCACTTTAAAAATAAAAAACTAAAAATAAAAGCTATATTAGCCTAATATCAGAATTTTTATATGGCTACTAACGCGCACACATGTCAAAATGGTCCTATGTTGTCGTAGCAGCACCGAAAGCTTTAAACTTGCAGATAATTCATTAAATAAAGTATCCTACCAGTTCTTGCGAAGATAAGAAAAGATCGATGACGATAATGATGAGAACATTCTAGTATACTTGCGTATTTATTTCCTTATGTATAACTACATTTATTCTAATCTTTATTTATATAATTTTGGCTATCGGCATTCTGAACCGAAGAAGTAGGTTTTGATTGGCCGGTAATGACATAATTATTATTCGAGCTCTGCTACATAAATTACCTCTTTGCCTTTGGCTAGAAAGAAGAACGCTGCTGGCGAAAAAGACACAGAGGGGTTGAAAGAGATCAAGTTGTTGCTTCAAATCCCGCCAACGTTATATACTACAAAATTCGTATGAAGAAAGAAAATACAAAATGTACAAGGTAAAGTAGATTCGGATAAACCTTTCATAGGCCGTTTGGCGTGATAGACATGCATTTATCTGCTATTCTTAGTACCTGAGGGAAGCCAGTTCTCTCTAGAACACCACATAAGCTCATCGCGGCAAAAAAGAATGCGTCCTTTTCGGGATTTTAGCACAGATCAACTATACCTAATCCAATATTTCTGCGCAGAGTAAATTTCCACCAAAATTAAATACTCTTTCTATGGCTCGAAATAGATGGTCGAAACATTTATGCCAGTTTTCATGCAGCTTTTAGAATGCTTTCATGAGGAGAACCGGAAGATTCTCAATAGGTACTAGATTTAAAGAAAAATTCATGAAAAAAAGTAGTTTTTGATATTCTCGCCGTTTTGGAGGGACGAGTATCAATTGCATATCAAGTTATGCAGACGAACATAGTCGTTTGAAAACTTTTTGAATTTTTTAATGCTTTTTTGGCCGGTTCTACATTTTTGAATGACGACTTAACTAATTCGTTCCAATATATAGTTTTACCTAAATACGGCCCTATAAAAAAGTTACTTACAAATTAAAGAAGAAATGTTTTCAGAAATGATTTTGACCAGCTAGCGGTTTAGACCCCGAATTGAAGCTGTAATCACGTTGTATGGTGGTTACCTGAAATGAATATATCCGCCGAGAATCGAACCTCTAACACATGTAATTTTATTGAAATACTTGTTTTTGTTTAGATACAACCTGTAAGGAATAGTCCGGATTTAGTTGCCGTACCTGTATGTATTTATACTGTGAAAATTGATCCGTTAGTCATAAACTGATAATATCGATGTGCCAATAGTCTCGAATTGCCGTTGCAACGTTTCTTGACTGGCCATCTGCTTAGCGGCTGCGCTGGTACCACAGTCTTCTAACGGTTCGGACGCCCTTGTTTCCTTCCATTTTCGTAGTACAGATACCGTAAAGGCGTCTTCGCAGCCTCCTTCCATCCTTCGCTCAGCACCGACAATCATGTGACTACTTGTTATTACAGCCTAACGCTGCTACCGGTTATTCTGAAGATGGCTTGCCTAATGCGACAATCTGATTCGTAGGTTTTGCATTCCCGACTTGGTCTTCGGACAGCTGACCAGGCCTTGCGACGTCTGATGAGAAAACTCGATAGAAAGTGTGATGCCTTGGGTGGATCGCTGGATGAATTATAAATAAGGCAAATCCTAACCTCTGTCCTACTTCCATCGTCACCAACCAAAATACTAGTGGAGCCAAAAGATTGTGCAGGCAAACAGGTTGTATATCGCAATCCAGCGCGTAGTTAAAATAGCAAAAGCGAAACTAGCGCCAGAAAATGCACGGGATACCACCGGGCGTAGTGAAGGTGTTTGCTAGGCGTTGACCTGATCTTTCTCATGATTCTATAGGTCCATTTCCAGAAAGAATAGGTTTTCACAGAGTTGAAGAGGAGACAGAATTTGCCCTAAGCCCAAGGGAAAGGTACCTCGGCGGATCGACTGATATGTCTACTTGATACAATTGCCAAGCTGATGGAAACATTATAGTTCACAGGTTGCAGCAGGAGACTGAAGGTATAGGATCGACTTGATGGAGCATCGAATATGAGGGAATGCTCGAATAGCCTCATATGCTGGAGGAAACTGAAATACTTGCGTAGCTCGACAACTTAGCATTATTGGTGAAGGCTTGCACAAAACGTCATTTTGAGACAATCGTCAACTCAAAGACTGGCAGCCGATCTTACTGCATAAATGCATAGCTATTGTCCTTAATGAAGAAAACCTCTTCAAAAAGAATTTCAAATCCAGATCAACCGCCACCATGTAGAGCTCAAGATAGCGTTAAAGTATTTAGATATCATCCTATATATAAAACAAATAGGTTCCACGCATTAAAAGTACGCGGCTTTAAAGACTCTTACTATAGAGCTAAACCTAGCATGCAGAACTTTATACAGCTTTGTGCGCCTGTTTAGTATGGGGCGATATGGCACTGACCAAAATCTACTGGGACAAATTGTTGTTAGCGCAAACTGCCGTCATATTTCGTGTTATTATATATGAGACTGTGCTGATGAAAGTGGTGCTTGCCAGAGTGTTCCCGTATAAGAAGGCACTTTTCTTCCCGGCAAGAAAGCACTTCAAAAAGGCGCTATTCGAAGCTTCGAAGATTACAGCAGAGAGGAAATTTACATTCGAAAAATGGAAGAAAAGGCGAAAGCACCTCACATTGAACCACATGGAGATCCTCAAAGGGGAATGGATGGGAAGGGTCATAACCGGCCTCAATCTATGATATTAACGTCCGTATGCTGAAGTGGCGTACCATCTGACACTTATACTCGTTCAGTTTCAAACATAAGGTAAATATTAAAAAAACTGGATGTGTATACCTGCGTATTATGCTTATTCTGCTTACACAGAAGGTGTCGGGCACACGCTTGCGAAAAGTACCGCATTGCGGGAAACTCCAGAAGATCAGTCATATGCCCACACACATCAGCTCCCAGTAAAAAAAAACGTCGTCTTAAGGATGCTTATCTACAAAACGGAACGAAAGCGCTGACAAGAGTACCTTATATATATATATATATATATATATATATATATATATATATATATATATGTATATTATGCAGATATGCTAGTTTTTTTTTTGTAATATATTTTACAGCAGTTATAGATACGACACTACTACATTTTCCCGATTCCTCTGTTGAATAGTGTCTTGCACTAACTTTGCTTTGGTCTAGCGTCCACAAAGTCTAGTCACTTTGTGGACCAGTAAATTATATTCCACCAGCCACCAGCTGAAGAATTGGGG